GGCTTAGGAGAAACATTTTCAAAACCACTTGCACAGTTGAAGGAAAAATTTTCTCTCTTATGATCGATAGCGAAAGCTTGGAAAATTTTGTTTCACAAATAATGGTTGATAAGCTAAAGTTAAAATTTAAACCACTTGACAAACCTTATAAAATCTCTTGGTTGAAGGAAGTGGGTAAAGTTCCTATAAAGCAATGTTCTGTCAATTTAACGATTGAGGGTTCTTTTAAGGATCAAGTTGTTTGCAATGTCGTACATCTTGAAGTCTGCCATATTTTGTTGGGCCGTCCTTGACAATTTGATCACAAAATCATTCACAATGGAGAGAAGAACACTTATAATTTGATTCAAAATAATAAAGAGTTCACTCTCTATCCTAAAAAACATGTGCCTGATTCGTCTCCCGAAAATAATAAGGTTGCCAAAATAAACACTCCTGAACTGCTTCTGAATACAAATGATTTGAAACATTCTGAGGTAGCTTACTTGGTTTTGGGAAAGGAAACTTATTCAACACTTCAAATTTCTAAAGAAATTTAGTCTTTAATTGATGAGTTTTCTGATATAACACTAGAGGAATTGCCTATAGGTTTGCCACCGATGAGAGATATTCAACATCATATTAATTTAATACCTGGAGCCACTTTGCCTAATCTTCCTCATTATAGGATGAGTCCAACTGAGCACGATGAACTTTTTAAGCAAGTGACTGAACTGTTAGAAAAATATTTGATTAAGGAAAGCTTAAGTCCCTGTGTTGTGCCTGCTTTATTAACTCCCAAAAAAATGGAACGTGGAGAATGTGTGTGTATAGTAGGGCAATAAATAAAATCACCATTAAGTATAGATTTTTTATTCCTAGACTGGATGACATGCTGGATATATTAAGCGGTGCTAAAATCTTTTTCAAAATTGATTTGAGAAGCGGGTATCACCAAATTAGAATAAGTCCTGGGAATGAATGGAAAACTGCTTTTAAAACTAAAGAAGATTTGTATGAATGGCTTGTTATGCCTTTTGAACTTTTTAATACTCTGAGCAATTTTATGAGAACAATGAATCATGTTTTGAGACGTTTTATTGGAAAGTTTGTTGTGGTGTATTTTGACGATATTTTGATTTATAGCATTCACCCTTCTGAACATCTTAATATGTGAATCAAATTTTACAAACGCTAAGAGAGCAAAAGTTGTACATCAATCTTAAAAAATGTTCTTTCATGACTTCAAGTTTAACATTTTTGGGTTACATTGTGTCTGCTAAGGGAATCAAAGTTGATCCTGTAAAAATAGAGGCAATTCAAAATTGGTCTACTCCTAAAAATATAAGTGAGGTGAGAGGGTTTCATGGCTTAACTTCTTTCTATCGAAGGATTATTAAAAACTTCAGTTCTTTGATTACTCCTATCACTGATTGTTTGAAAAAAGGGATATTTAGGTGGACATCTCAAGCTGAACAAACATTTGAAATCATAAAGGCAAAAATGAGTCAAGCTCCCATCCTTAGCTTGCCAAAATTTGAAAATATTTTTTAAGTTAATTGTGATGCTTCTCATATTGGTATTGGTGCTGTGCTTAGTCAGGAAAGAAAACCTATTGTTTATTTTAGTGAAAAGTTGAATTATGCTCGATCCAAATATTCTACTTATGACTTAGAATTTTATGCTATTTTTCAAGCTTTGAAATTCTGGAGATGTTATTTGATCCAAAGAGAATTTGTTTTAAATACTGATCACGAAGCTTTGCGATTTTTGGGCTCTCAAAAAAATCTGAATAAGATGCATGCCAAATGTGTTTCTTTTTTGCAAGAATACACTTTTCACATTAAACATAAAACTGGTATGCTAAATAAAGTTGCTGATGCTTTAAGCAGGAGATCTCATTTGTTGGTAACTGTTTACCCTACAATCACTTCTTTTGATTTTTTAAAAGATACTTATGCGAATGATCCTGATTTTAAGAGTATTTAGGATTCTTGTCTTACTTCTGGAATTGATCCTTCTGCTCAATTTATTATTCATCAAGGATTTTTGTTTAAGGATTCTAGACTTTGCATAACAAAAAATTCTTTAAGAGAGCAACTTGTGCATGAACTTCATAGTGGGGGTTTGGGTGGACATTTTGGGCAAGGAAAAACTGTTGCCTTGGTTGAGGAAAAATATTTCTGATCTCATATGAGAAGACAAATTGCTAAGCTGTTAAAACAATGTAAAATTTGTCAAGCTTTTAAGGGAACTTCTCAAAATACTGATTTGTATACTCCTCTTCCTATTCCAAATAAGTCTTGGGAGGATATCTCTATGGATTTTGTTTTGGGGTTATATGTTACTGCTAGAAAGTTTTATTATGTTTTTGTTGTTGTGGACTGATTTAGCAAAATGACACATTTTATTCCTTGCAAGAAAATTTCTGATGCTTCATATATTGCTAACTTTTTTTTTGAAGAAATTGTTCGTCTCCATTGTATTCCTCGCACTTTTACTTATGATAGAGATACTAGATTTTTGAGTCATTTTTAAAGAATACTTTGGCTAAAATTAGGAACTACTCTTCAATTTAGTAGTGCATATCATCCACAAACTGATGGACAAACTGAAGTTGTCAATCAAAGCTTAGGGAATTTACTGAGATGTCTTGCTGGAGAAAAATCATTCCAATGGGATTTGATATTGCCCCAAGCTAAGTTTGCATACAATAATTCTGTTAATCGCTCCACTGGTAAAACTACATTTGAAATTATTTATGGTCAACCTATACCTCACATTTTAGATAGGAATTGTTTGCCTATACCTAATAAAGTTAGCTGAAGCTTCTGAAACTTTTGACCATATTAAAACTGTCCAACAGCAAGTCTCCGAATGGCTAATATTAAATACAAATATGCTGCTGACAAACATCGGAGGGATGTTTATTTTAAAGAGGGAGGTTTGGTTATAGCTTACTTTCATCGCCAACGATTTCCTTTTGGTACTTTTAAAAAATTAAGCAGGAAGAAATTTGAGCCTTTTTGTGTTCTACGAAAATTGGGCATGAATGCTTATCTCTTGGATCTTCCTATTACTGTTGGCACTTCTCCCATGTTTAATGTTTCTGACCTTTCTTTGTATGAAGGAAATTCTGAAGATTATGTGGAAATTGAAACTTTGCCACTCTCCACATCAGTTTTAAATAATGATGAACAGGTTGAAGATGTTATTGATGTCAAAGTTACTAAAAGTAGACATGACGAGCACAAGAGATTTTTGGCTAAATGGAAGAATCGTCCCTTGAATGACTGTACTTGGATGGATGCTAATGAGTTGAAAAATCATCATCCGGATCTTTATCAAAAAATTATGAAAGCCGTCTCATTAGGAGATGAGATTCTCCCACCAGGGGGGAATTAATGCATTTATATTTTGGCTTATTTTGTTTTGATGTAATCTGAACATTATTTAGTTGTGTTTTATGTTTTTTTTATGCTATCCAATGATGGAGAACATCTAATGATCATGGTAGAATGTGCTGGGGCATGGCAAGGCTTGGGTTTGCTAGCATTTTGGGTCCTTTTGTTCTTTGGGATGCTTGCTGCTTCTCGGTTTGGGCCTTTGCTGCTCTCGGGTTGGGCTTTGGCTGCTCTGGTTGTGAGTTGATAAGTTGAGATCTTCTTGGTGCAACTTCATTAATGCTTGAGCTGATGTTTAGCTTATTATTTGGAAAAGTAGTTGCACTTCCTAGCTCATTATTTTGAAAAGGCATATGGAGTGGAGCTTGTTTCTTCCCCTTCTTGTGTCTCTTTGTTTCTTCTTTGTGCTGTTTCCGTGAAATTATGCTGGGTGCTAGTTGCCTTTTCGGTTTTCCCCTTGGATGCTTTCCTGTGGCTTCTCCTACCCGGTTTTTGTGTTGGCTCTTTGGGTCCCTCCCTGGCTATGCTCCCATGGCTTCTACACGTCCCTGGCTGTGTTCCCGTTGCTTCTCTTCCTGGTTCTTGTGCTGATTTTTGGGAGCTGTTTTGTGATAACTGCTGCCCTTCCTCTTCTCCTTACCTGAATTGTTTGGTTGGAGGTAGAAGTTGGCTATTTGGCTCCCCTTTCTCTCCTATAAATATGCTTTATTTTTGTCTTGATGAGGTTTTTGATTAACTTGAGATAGGTTGCTAAAAACCTAAGGGTTTCTTCTCTTTGAAAAGCTTGAGAGCTTGTTTCACCTCTTCCTTCTCTCTATTTCGTCTTGACTTCTAACCTCTTCTTCTCTACGCAAGTTCCACTCCACTTGTATGCTTCTTCTTGAGCTATTGAGTGATGTTTGTTGGCTGATTTAGAGACATTTGATGGAGGAGTTTGTTAGGATGTTTGGCCCTTTTGCTGTGGTGGATCCTCGGTTTGCAAGCCTAAGCACTTTATCATATTTTTCCTACTTCTCGTTTCATGTGAGGAATTCGCTTGCCGGTTGTTTTGAGGATAGTATTTTATTATTATAATTTTGTTTCATTTGTTTGGCTTTTCGTTTGTTTTGATGTTTGTTTGGATATTTGCAAATTAGATGGAATTGAGTTTGGTTTTAAATTGCCCTAGTGTTCTCTTATTTGACTTTTCGTTTTAGTTTGCCTGCATCATCAAGTGGCTGCGTGGCTTTACACTTGGAGATTTGGTGTAGTTCCAGTGGTAGATAAAATTAGAGAGAGTCGCTTTAAATGGTTTGGTCATATAAAATGTTGGTCTTCCAATGACCTTGTTACGAGGATAGATGTGTTAGAGCTGACCAGTATTAAAAACGGTCATGGTAGACCTTAGAAAGTATTAAAAATTTCTCCTTTTTTAGTAGATTTAAATGAGATTTTGACGCTTAATAGGACAATGGAGAAGAATGGTTAATGTGGCCTATCCCATATAGTAGGATAAAGACTTGTTATTGTTGTTGTCATCGTCTAAAAAGATGAAAATAAAGAAATCAACTAATACTCTTTTATAATCATTATTATTATAATATATGGTATGACTCTAATTGCTTCTTTTTTCTGCAGATGGTTTTGCATACAGTATCATGATTTCTGCATTTTGTCGAGTTGGGCTGCTCCAAGAAGCAAGGCAACTTGCTAAGGACTTTGAGGACAATTACGAAAAATATGACCTTGTTATGCTAAATACCTTGTTGCGGGCTTACAGCAATGCTGGAGACATGGAAAGCGTGAGGAAAATGCTAAAAAAAATGGATGATCTTGCAATAACTCCGGATTGGAATACATTCCATATCTTAATCAAGTATTTTTGTAGAGAGAAGCTATTTCATCTTGCTTATCAAACTATCGAAGACATGCACAGCAAAGGGCATAAATTAAATGAGGTAACTGCCACTGAAAATTTGTACTTTGGCCGATCCTCTGTTAGGGGATATCGATCATGGTAGTAATTTTTATCTTTTGCCTCTTAGTAATAAACATGATGTTAGCCTCCTAATTTGGTATACATTTGTCTCAATTTACGAGGCATTGGTGAGAAGAACCCAACAATAGTGTTTCAAACAAAATTACATTATTTCTATCCTCTACAGGAAAAATTAGATGTGACCTATCAAACTAGTGTTATGACAATAATGTTTAAATAAACAACACATTATTTCTATCATCTATTGGAAAATTTAAATGCTACCTGTCAAACTAGTGTGATGAAATTATTTGTTTTCTTTGATATGCTGGTTCAAAATAAAGAGGTGCGGCCTGATATTTAGGTTTACTTGAACTATAAACTTGTTGACAGATCATAGGACCTATAGATCAACTAGATTTTGGTAGGGATCCTGCCGCACATTGGTTAAATGTTCTAATGGTTGGAATAATCCTCTTATACCTCTTAGAGTACAATTTGTGTGCCTTTACCTATTCTAGCTATCGGTCCCTCTTGGGGATATCTTTTCTTTTTCGTAAATAGCTTTGACTTCTATTATATGATTTTTTTAAGAAGACTAAATAATTACATGCTTGATTTAGAATTAAGCAATAAAATTCAAAATAGTTTTTTCTACTACACTTTTTTGTATGGTATCCGTGCAAGGTTTGGGTTTTCTTCCTCGAAAGTTTGTTGGCCATTCTTATCAATATCTTCCTACTCTTCATTATGGCTGATTTTTTTACTTCCCTTCCAAGGAGTCGACCATCATGAGTGGCGAAAATCATACTAAAGAAAAATTCTGTGGGCCACATGTCTCATATTGCCTGAATAAGATAAATTTTTAGAATTGTTCTAAATTGTGAAGAATTTTCTGAAAGAAAAGGAAAATATTTATCATCTTATAGATCTTCCTTCGAAACAAAATGATCTAAAGTTTGTATTTTGTGATAAAACAGATTCTATGATGATGATAGTTGTGAACTACCATGAAGCTTGAAATGAGTGGGTCATGTATGCCCCTCTTTACCATAAATGGAGTTTGGGACGTCGTAAATAAATATACTCAAAAGTGAAGTTATCCTCCTCTAAGAGATCAAAATTAAGGTTTTAAAAACCAAGCAAGTCAGCCTTCCTATTATTGAGTACTATAATGCAAAAAAAGATTATTAATTTGAATTGGATCATTACCAAGATTTCAAGATGATATGCTGAAGGTGTAATAATTCTCATGCAATTTGTAGAAATAGACATGACATTTAATTTTTTTGCAAGTCTAAATATTGAGTTCGATCAAGTTTACTTACAAACATTATGCAGAGAAAATTTACCATTTATGAATGAGATTTTTTTCGATCATGTGAGTCAAAGATGGGAGAATGATGATAATGCTCAATGATTTGATCTCTGAAACATCAGTCATACAACTACAAAACCTCAAGCTAATAGATTTATTGTTACAAACTTTTTCCTTAATGAGGGGCAAATGCCTCTTCTGAAAGCAATCTATGCTCCAACTACTGTAAGTCAAAAGGACACATAAAAATAAAATATTGGAAACTTCACAAAAAACTACTAGGCTATTGTAGAAATAAAGAAGGTTACTAAAAAGGGCATACCTACCTTGTCTATCTGACGAACTCAATCCATAAGAAATTGATGAACTTAGGAACTTCCTCAACTCTGGACAAATGATTTAGATTATATTCTCTAGTTCAAAATGATATGAATTCTAACTCTTGTATTTTTCAGTGCCTTAAATAATTTCTTTCACATCTAGATCCTGAATTCAAGAGCCATTGATCACAAAACCAATTTTGCCAACTTTTTTAAATCTTTAAATATTGCCCCATGATTAGGAAAATAAAGTTACCGATTGTTCTCTAATAACTATTATAAGTTAAGAAAATATTTTAATTTTCTACACATTTATAGTAATATAATAGTTGTTTCTCATTTTTGTAATAAATATTCCATCGATTCTTATAATAACTAAAAACAACAATTGTGAGGTAATCATTTTTTTATCTTTGTGTATTCGTAGACCACGTTACGAGAAAAGCAACTAGGCAAACTAAAGAAAATGATGGGTCATATCTACTTAAAGATCGAAATCATTTGTCATGTTCTTTTATTTTCACCCTCAATATAAAAGCCATTTGGAAATATCATTATAGTTGATGACATCCATCTTTCAAAACTATAATATGTACGTTTTGTTCTTTTTTTCAAATGTAAATATGAATGTTTTTTATATATATTTTTAAAATTATTTTAGATCTACTCTTTTTTTAATTTTCATTTTGATATTTTGGAATATTTTATGATTCCTAAAATTTATAGAGTTGCATGATTTGTCACATTTATTTGATGATTGTACTAGGATGACTTTAACATATTGTTGACCCTAATACTAGTGTCAGGATCAAGTCGACTGCGCAAGGTGGGTTTCAAAAGCAAAAGAGCTCGAAATCGCGCAAAAACTCACCCGACGCGTGTCGACCGAAAACCCAAAATCACCAAATGGCCTCCGTTCGTGAAACAGACAGCGTCGATGCGTCCGGAGCAACGAAAACAGCTAAGATCGACACCCATATTGGTGGGGATTGCCGATCGGCAAAAATTTAAATTTTGGGCGCGCTAATCGAGGAGACGACGTATGCGAGCGGTAACGCAACGAACAACTCGATGCATGATTAAAATTTTTATTTTTATTTTGTGCAATATAATTAAAAAAATTATTTTAGAAAGAGATGAAGAGAAAGAGAACTTTTTAAATTAGAAAAAGAATTTTTCTAAATAAAAGAAATCCCAAAATGCCTAAAATACCCCCCTAATATCCCTCATACTCTCCTAACCGAACCCTCCCTCTCATTTTCACGCCACTCTCACGCCAAAGGCCGCCCCCCTCAAGCTCTCTTGCGATCCAAAGCCGCCGGCCATCCTCCTCCCTCCAAGCAAGGTAACTCCTTCTTCCTCTTTTCTTCTTCTTCTTCTTCTTCCTCCATTATTCTCTTCTTCTTCTTCTTCTTCTTCTTCTTTTTCTTCCTTCCCTCTTCTTCTTCTCCATTTTCTTACATTCCTCTTCATCTCTCCATATTTTTCATCATTTTTTTCCATTTTTCTCCTCTCCTCTCTTCTCCTTCCTCTCCTTCATCTTCTTCTTCTTCCTCCATCACATTTTCTCCAAACCTACAACCAACCCTAACCCTAAATTTTTATTTCTCAACATACACTCACCAAAACACCCATGCCTCTTCACAAAAAACATTTCCCTACACATCCTACACATTTTCTATCAAAATCACTATCATCCCTCACTTTCTCTCTCTAACTAATTTCTTTCTCGTTCTAATTTCTCTCTCTAGAACGAGAAAGAAATTTCTCCATGTATGGCTCCCTTTCCATCCCAAACATCTCTCCTCTCCACCATGCCTCCAAATTCCCTTCCTAGAGAGAAAAAAATTTCACTCTTTCTCTCTCTATTTTAGAAAGAGATGAAGAGAAAGAGAACTTTTTAAATAAGAAAAAGAATTTTTCTAAATAAAAAAAATCCCAAAATGCCTAAAATACCCCCCTAATAACCCTCATACTCTCCCAACCGAACCCTCCCTCTCATTTTCACGCCACTCTCACGCCAAAGGCCGCCCCCCTCAAGCTCTCTTGCCATCCAAAGCCGCCGGCCATCCTCCTCCCTCCAAGCAAGGTAACTCCTTCCTCTTTTCTTCTTCTTCTTCTTCTTCCTCCATTATTCTCTTCTTCTTCTTCTTCTTCTTTTTCTTCGTCCTTCCCTCTTATTCTTCTCCATTTTCTTACTTTCCTCTTCATCTCTCCATATTTTTCATCATTTTTTTCTATTTTTCTCCTCTCCTCTCTTATCCTTCCTCTCCTTCATCTTCTTCTTCTTCCTCCATCACATTTTCTCTAAACCTACAACCAACCCTAACCCTAAATTTTTATTTCTCCACATCCACTCACCAAAACACTCATGCCCCTTCACAAAAAACATTTCCCTACACATCCTACACATTTTCTATCAAAATCACTATCATCCCTCACTTTCTCTCTCTAACTAATTTCTCTCTCTAGAACGAGAAAGAAATTTCTCCATGTATGCTCCCTTTCCGTCCCAAGCATCTCTCCTCTCCATCGTGCCTCCAAATTCCCTTCCTAGAGAGAAAAAAATTTCACTCTCTTTCTCTCTCCAAAATTGAGAAGAGAGGGGTTTTCTCTCTCTAAACCTCTCCACCCACTTCCTTACACCTCATAAACCCCTTTCCATGCAAATTCCCATCAAATCCTCTATTTTCCTCCCTTTTTCTCTCTAGAAGGAGAGCTCTATCTCTTTTTTTTTCTCTCTAGCCTTTGTTTTAAGTAAAAAAGGCATATATGATTAATTTTATTGCACAAATAATAATAATAAAAAATTTAAATTGTGCATCGCAGGTTTCCCACCGTCGCCGTCATTTGCCGCGTCGCCTCGATTACTGCACATCCAAGGTAAAAAGCCGGACACTAGCATTTTACATTTCTATGCATGAAATAAGTACTCGTGACTGTTTTTGTTAGCGAGCGAGGAAACTTAAGTACCTATGACCGCTCTTATCAGCGAGCGGGAAAATTTATATGCATGAAATATAAGTACCCGTGACCATTTTTTTTAGCAAGCGGGAAAATTTGTTATTTATAAAAGAATTGTTTAATTAAGTACCCGTCACTGCTTTTGGGCGGGGAAAATGCTGTGCTTTAGACATGTATTTAAAGAACCCGTGATCGCTTTTGTTAGTGAGCAGAGAATGAGATTGCGGCCGCGGTGTCATTTGACACCTACTGTGACTGTCTTTCTTAACAGGCGGGAAGGCCTTACACACCCCGATGCACCCCCCATGCGGGGACGACGCTGGGGTGCTGCCAAAATTTTCAACTGAACCTACGACTTAGAAAATTTAAAAAAAAAAT